TGGATTCCAAAACTTTATAAGAATCCTTACAAACAAAGATACATAGCGGGTTCCAGTTAATGTTCAACCAAGCCTCTTTCTGTACTACATTAGATATTCACAGTAATGAAGGAGAAATTTCAAGAGTACTGTGCAACAATATAATCAAGAAGTGGTGTAAATCAGACGTCGATACTTAAAAATTCCAAGGAACTTTTTGACAATTTGGAAGCACAAGATTTCACCAATATCAACAACTTAAAAACTTACGACTTTTCAATTTATTAACTTTTATATATCATGGACAGTTGCTTTTTTAATAATATGGAACGCGTAAATTTACTTACCTTAGCATTGATCATTAGCAAAATTGTTTTGCTTACAACATTCGGATTGTTCACACAAGTACTCTGAAGTTGATATCAAAAAGATGCTTGAGTTTCTGCTTGACAATATGTCGTTTTTGGAGTTCAGGTCTTCCATAAATCTATGGGAAAAAAGTTATAAACAGACTTATTTTTATATACTACAGAGTCTGACACATCTGTTTCATATTTGGATATTTTACTTGAAAAAGACGTTCATGGTAATCTAACAACAGAGCTATTTGATAAACATGATGACTTAAACTTTTCTATCTTCATCTTCCTTTACTTATGCAGCAATAAATCTTCTTCAACTGCATACGAAGTTTATATATCTCCGTTGATAAGATACACAAAAGCATGCTCTACGTATGAACAATTTCTAAAACGAGGTATGATATTGACAAACAAGTTGATGAAACAAAAATTTCAACTGCCTGGTTTAAAGTCATCATTTTATAAGTTCTATGGTCGATTCCATGACATTATCAGCAAATACAATTTTTAAATTGAGTTAAATGCTGACTGACGTTCTTAATACAAATTTTTAGTTCATTATTTATACACTGAATTGACCACGGGTTACCCCGTTATTTCCCGACCATGACAAGGAGCACACGGCAGGTGTGACCGTTCGGCAGGGGATGCTCGCTTCTCCATAGCACCTGATTTTATCTCCGATGTTTCGGAGGTCCGTGTCTGCTCTGCTCCTATTTTGTATTGTTTTATGGATTTTGATTTTGAATACTGTTCAATATATCCATATCCTTCACTCTATATGTTTCATATATGAAACAATTTTTATATAAACTGGATTGTCCACCAATTTCGCTAGCCAAGGGTCTCTGATACGCTACTCTCTTCATATGTTCATGAGGAGAGTAGCGTGTCAGAAACCCTTGGCTATCAAAGATGTTTGTACACAAACTTGACGGACAACCCTCATACTGTATATAGAATGCATGTCAAAAAATTCCTCGAGCATTGTATCTAGAGTACGTGTCAGTGAATTATGTATTTAGTATGTATGTACATATACGTAATATATAAAAAATATAAAGAAATTCTACAAACGGATACTCGTATATAATAAAAATGTGCTAATATATATGTAAATTATTGACAAACAAGTTGTTGTAAGATGTCCGATTTTTACAGTATATACATGTATATACAGTCTCTATATACAGTTTTGCCTGTACTCCAGTGTGGCATATTTTTTGATACCTCCAATATATTTTTTTTGGAGTTTATTCAGGATTTATCCTCAGTAAAACACTAAACTGCATCACTTTCTGCTGCTCCATGACGTTCTAACACGGTATCGTTTCTGTCGTTTTCAATTAGGACAACCAATCTTCTCAAGTTGATTTCTTTTCAACAAAGCAAAATATTAACCATAATTTGGAAAACGAATCGATGTTACAATTCTTAATTTGAATTTTTATGTTATTTTTCGTTTTTTCTCCATTTAAATGAGAATCTGACTCCAAATATTTTTTAGTGTATTGTTTGTAACTTACTAAATTTTGACCATCTCCACGATCTGATTTTTGCATTTTTAAAATCTGGAAAGTAAAGTATTGATAATCAAGTTGATGAAACAAGAATATTAGCAGCCTCGTTAAAAATCATAATTTCGTAAGTTTTATAATCGATACAATGACCTTGTCAGCAAATAAAATTTATCATTAAGTCAAATGCTAACTGACGTTTATCATACTAATTGTTAGTCCATTATTTATACACTAAATTATTGACAGATTTTTCCGTTATTTTCCGATCACGACAAGGAGCACACGGCGGGTGTGACTGGTTAGCAGGGATGCTCACTCCTCAATGGCACCTGACCCCACCTCTGATGTTTTTACTCTGCTCCTGTTTTGTATTATTTTATAAACATTTGATCTTGAATACTGTTCGTTATCTCCTTGTGTTTCATCGAACATATTTTAAAGCAAATGAGCTGCAAGTTTGATATGTTTGTTGAGTTGTAGAATTATCTTTTTTCAATGATGGGAAAATAGAACATTTAAAAACTTCTATTTTTCATATTTGCGATAAAAGAACTTTGTATAAGCTTTTATCAAAGCAAAATTACATTATTGTTGTCCTGTACAATATTGATTTCCTATAAAGTGCTATACATTCCACTGTACAGAAATATTTCTTCTGAAACAATTAAAAATTTGTGTTTGGTTTTATTGATTATAAAAATTTAAATTACACACAAATTATTCATAATAACACATTTTAACAACAAAATAAATTTCTAAAAAATGCAGCTAGTATTGTTTTAATTGAAACGTGAAACAGGATGAAACGATTCTGACGTAAATTAATGTGAGTTATGCATCCATGGCTACACGACATATGATTTTTTTTTATCAGATCAAATTACGCGTTGCATGCAAAATTAATTTATATATAGGGGAGAGAAGTTTTTTTTTTCAAAATATGTTAACTCTTTTTTCTAAACCGTTAATCAGATTTTAGTATTTAACATAAAAGTATGATAATATACATTGTAGATAGGATGACAGTATGATTTTTCATAGAATAATTATTTAATTGACATGATTAACAGTTCTCTCGAGATATAAATGCAATTGAAAACATACAATATACCAATTTATGTTGATTTAGTTTATTGATAGCAAAACTGCACATGAACGTATTCTCAATTTACGTATTAAGAATTAAAATGATAATAAAGGCGTTAATTTCTCCCCCGCATTTCCAAACAAGAAGGATATGGAAATAACGAACAGTATTCAATCTCAACGTCCATTAAACAAATATACAAAATAAAAGCAGAGCAAACAAGGACCCCTGAAACATCAGAGGTGGGATCAGGTGCCATGGAGGAGTGAGCATCCCCTGCCGACCGGTCACACCCGCCGTGTGCTCCTTGTCATGATCAGGAAATAACGGAGAAAATCCGTCGTCAATTCAGTGTATAAATGATGGACTAACAATTGGTATAAAAAACGTCAGTCAGCATTTGACTCAATGATAAATTGTATTTGCTGACAAGAAAAATGTATCGACCATAGAATTTACGAAATGATGACTTTAAACGAGATTGTTGATATTCTTGTTTCATCAACTTGCTTGTCAATAATTTACCTCGTTTTGAAAATTGTTCATACGTTGAGTATGCTCTTGCGTATCGAATCAACTGAGATATATAAACTCGGTATATGCAGGTGATGAAGGTATATATAAAAGAAGTTATAGAAAAATTAAAGTCATCACGTTTATCATAGAGCTTGGTTGTTAGATTACGCTTAACGTCTTTTTCAAGTAAAATATCCAAGCATGAAGCAGAAGTGTCGGACTCTGTGGTATCTTTTATTTCAAGCTCACCAGGATATATCGTGTCGACGTAGGAATGGAAATTATCATTATTAATTGACAATACGTCGTCGATATACCTAAATGTCGAGTTGAAGGCCACAGCAAGTGTTTTGTTCTTTTCACGCATAAGATTTTGCATAAATTCTGCTTCATATGAATATGGTAATAAGTCTGCTAATAATGGAGCGCAATTTGTACCCATGGGAATTCCAATAGATTGTTCAAATACCTGGTCTGCAAAAACCACATACATATTGTCAATCAGAAACTCAAGCATCTTCCTGATATCAACTTCAGAGTACTTATGTGTGCAATCAAAATCTGTTTTAACAAAATAATTTTTCAAATGACCAATGACGAGGTAAGTAAATTTACGAGTTCCATTTTTGTTGAAGAAGCAGCTGTAAATGATATAAAAAAGCCTGGATCTTAATTTGTCGTGAGGAATTGTTGTGTATAAAGTTGAAAAGTCTTTAAGTTTTTAAGCTGTTGATTTTTGTAAAGTCTTACGATTTCAAAGTGTCCAAAAGTTCTTTAGAATTTTTTAGTATCCACATCTGATTCACACCACTTCTTGAATCATTAGCTGCACAGTACTCTTGAAGTTTTTCAATCACTACTGTCAATATCTTAGTGAGGAGTAACGAAAGAGGCTTGCTTGAACATTTACTAGAACCTGCAATATATCTTTGTTTGTAAGGATTCTTTTGAAGCTTTGGAATCCAGTATATATAAGGTAGTTCAAATTCATTTTGGCTTTGAGGAATATTAAAAGTATTCAAAACTGACAGGTGATTTTGAAGGATGCATTTGTTTCTAATGATAGGGTAAATATCCGATAATGTATTAATTGAATGTTTACAAAGTTAAAAACATTGTTTATGCCTTTTGGGACAACCCTCGTAATACAATTACCCTTTTTACACGAGTATCAAATAACAGAAAAACAATGACAATTCTGATATGTTTTCATTGTTTAACTTGTTTTGTCCCTTCACTAAACACATAAGCATCCTTTTTTAGTTTAAATTTCTTTCGATATTCTTTCAATATTGAAGATTTATGTATTTAAAAAAATGATATTTATTTGTTTTTTAATTTATATATTTTAAAATATTTATCTTGGTTTATTTAGGATAGATTTATTATTGATAAATTACTTATTGACTCATGTTAGGTATTTTTGATATTAAAGACAGGAAAACTGTGTTCAAAATTATATAAAACTAAAACTGAACTTCCAAATTAACAATGTATGTCTAACAATATAATTTGATAGATAACTACAAACAATACACATAGACGATGGTTCACAGCATATCATTGAAGACAATGGAGTAACAATACGATATATCAGTAATTAACACTTCACAAACTGGCAAATAATCCCGCGATCTCAAACAAGAAACCATAATTGTCTCCAAATCAGCTTGAAAAAGATATTCGAAAACGCTAAATTATCAATTTAATACAGAAGCTTCATTTGTAAAAAGTGTTTTTGAATATTCAACTTTAAAAATATTCTATTTTCCGATTTTCAAATATTCTATTTTCCGATTATTCAATTACATGCAGGTAAACTTCGTATGTTCTAATCGATTACAAGTACTATCGATCAGATATATTAACAGGTTAATATATAAATACATGTATCTACATATAATATATTAATAGGTTAATTATTCTATAAATTTATCTCTGTTTAAATGAGTTCTTCTGGTTTCATCAAAAACTTGTAACGAACATATATTTATTTTACATTACATCCGAATAGTTTAAATGTAAATTTTGTTCCTATGTATTCTATTTGTTTCAATTCCGAAAAATATCATAAAGACAATGATATTGACTTCTAGTGTTTTGATGCCCCTGTTACAGTCCTATCTAGTACAGGATATGACGTCCACCATCCACGACTATATCTCCTCCATTTATGTGCGATGCTTTATCAGAGGCCAAGAAACAGACAATCGGGGCTACCTCTTCCTGCTCAGTGTTCCGACCAGTGGGATTCTCTTTTGCAATCGCATCAAGAAACTGGAAGAAAGGATATTTGGAATGCATGCAGTAAAATATTCCTTTGTATTTTAGTATTATACCTCAATAAAACAAATTATATAACATGATAAGAGATAATTCATATCCATATCTTACATGTACCAAATACTTTCTTCATCATGAGGAATGTGTATTTTTTTATGTTGGCATTCCCTATAACTCGTATTTAGAACTTTCAAATTAATGAATCTTTCTTAAAATATAATTTTATACTTTTGTATTTATGATAACTGCAAAAGCACTGATCTGTAAACTGTTTAATGTAAATGATGGATTTATTCAATCATTTGATTACTTTTATTTTCTTTACAGTAACATATTTTAAATTAGATTTATTATATCCGGAATGGTAGGATGAAAGGTTAGTCATTGTTAAAATTAAAAGGGAAATGAATTTTGTTTGCCCGATCATGACAAAGGAGGGTGTGTCTGGTCAACACGGGAAGCTTTCTCCTGTATGGCACGTGATCCAGCCTCTAATATTTTAGTAGTCCGTGATGGCTCTGGTCCCGATTTGTACTGTTTCAATTGACCTTTGAACCTGATAACTATTTGTAATTTCCATATTTTTTCCTTACTTTAATAACGATTTAAAGCAACAATTCCAATTAATAATGACATTCTAAAATTAAAGATTTTGAGATACATGATTCGTTAAATTATATTACCTTATTGTACGATTCTTCATCTACCACTCCAGGAATGTTATCACGTGTATAAAAATTGGTTCGAATTGCTCCAGGCCTGTTGATGATAATTAAAGATCAAAAACTGAATAGGCAAACAAATAAATTTTTAAGAAATGATGGTTTAATTTGTTTGTTACCTCATATCACATAAAAGATGTTTCAAATTTTCAGACTGGAATAAACATACCTTACGGTGTTTGCTCGCACTCCATGGGGCGCTAACTCTGAAACAGGAGAATGAAAGTGTCATTTCTGCTGTTAATATTGTTATTCAACTACTTTGTATTCATATTAGCGAGTGCAATGATTTGTTACCATACCTAAGATTAGCATAGTCAAATTTTTAGATTGATTTCATAGATAAGTATGAATAATTTCAAGTAGTTTTGCTCTGCTTTATACCAGAACATCACACTCTAAATACCGTAACAGCATCAAAAGTGAAGAGATGAGTTAATTCATACCCAGTGCTAATCCTCTAGTGAAGGCATCCATGGCTGCTTTGGACATGGAATAAGAACAAGTTCCAGGCATCTACATGTACATAAAAGAAAAGGGTCTTCAGAAATAAATGCTTTTTTTTAATTATAAATATCTACGATTTTTCCATTTGATAAATCGTTGACTTTCAGAATACCTCCACTGCGGTAGTAGACAGTACACTCGATATATTAATGATGCAACCTGAAAAGAATGAAAAAATACAATATCTTTCAGCAACGATACATCACGCATGAAGAGACATGTTAAGAGTAGACAATAACAGTCTAGTTTGTCTAGACAAAATGAGTGAACAAAAGTTTATTCTGTTTTCATATATTTTGACAAGTACATTTTCTTACTCTTTAACCAATAAAATAAAATTAAACAATCACTATTACCACGTCAGTATACTAGTGAACAAAAACAAGAGGCCCAGGGGGCCACATCGCTCACAAGAGCACTGTGACTAGGACATAGGCAAAGACAGTTCAGTACTAAAAAAAACTTAAATGCATATGTGGTCCCAAAGTACCCCTAACATGGAGAAGGATATGATTTGAACGAAGTTAAATACACACTAACTAAATAAGGATGCTTACATCTTTTTTTTACTAAATGTGACTTTCTTCCTTAAAATCTTAACGTTCATTTGGGCCACACTCTACTCCCGGGGGCATGATTCGAACCAACTTGATTCTACACTACCTGGTGATGCTTCCATATAAATGTGACCCACCATTGATTTGCTATTCGTGAGAAGAAGATTGTTAAAGATTTCCTTTAATATTCCTATGTAATGTAAAACTTTATGGCCCCACCCTAACCCAGAGGGTCATACTTTGAACCAATTTGAATCTACACTATCTGTATATGATTCCACATCAATTTTATCCTTCTTGTTCCATTGATTCTTGATAAAAAGGTTGCTCTGCATCAAAATTTGTATTTTGAATGGACTTTTGAGCTTTAATACCGTTCGTTATCTGCATATATGTCATGAACACAATACACACCTTTCCTTGCCTTGAGATATGGTATCACCAGCTGTGTGAGAAAATACGCTGACTTGATGTTAACGTTCATGATTTCGTCAAAGTTCTCCTCTGTTTCCGTTGAAATTGTTAATGGCCTCCCCATACCAGCATTATTTATCTTGTATAAATAAAAATTATCACTCGATAAACTTGATGACTTGAACTTTTCAATGTTGACTAAATGCATATATAATTATTGTTAAATTCATCATTGAAGCACTGAATTGTCCACAGATTTTCTTCTGTTAATCCCAATCATGACAAGGAGCACACGTCGGGTGTGTGCAGCAGAAGATGCTCAAACTTCCGTGATCCCAACCCTGGGATGTTATAACTTCATCATCTCTATACAGATGTTATGTATTTCATATTTTTAATACCCATATAGCATGAATGTCAACGTATGCAATAAACTATTTCTTTTAATAAATAAAACGAGGTAAAGACACATATATAAGGAGTCTTTATTCGTTATGCACAGTAAAGGTCAAGGACAAACAGAGTTTTTTGCCATTGAAATTTTTTAATTGCCAGAATTTCTGAAACCACTGGTTCAATTCTCTTTATTTTTACACATTTTATTCTGTGACCAATTTGAATCATTCTGTTAATTTTTTGTAAAAATTGAATTATACATTTTTTCGTTAGAAAACTTCTATGGTAACACTATGTATGCAATGTAATAAACAAAATTTGTCAATATAACTTCAAATACAAAAAAGTAAAAAAATTATACACAAATTGCAATAGATCAATTGATAATTTAAATAATCATAATTTTTAACTTTGGGCAAAAAAGAGTTGAATTTCTTTCATGAAGAGAGATTTTTTTAGAACAAAATATATAAGTTTCAGAAAAATTTAACTTGAGGAAAAATTTGGGGCCATCTTTTACAAATTGAATGACAAATGTGATGTAGATTTTTCCGTAAGTTTATCAGATGCTGACAAAAGCTCAAGGTGGAAGTGACTGATCGACAGGAGATGCTTCTTCCTCCATGGCACCTAATTCATCTTCCATTGGATTTATAGATATCTGTTAATAAGGTTATTAGGGGCCATATGTTTCATGTTTAATGTTTGTTATAAAATTTTTTGCATAAACTTCATAAATTTAATTTTGATAATTATATTTTTTCTTCAAAGAAAATAAAAGGTATACACACTCTGTAGATTTTTCTGTATGATTTTACAACTTGAAGTTTGACAGGATTTCTCTTCCATGACACCTGAATCATCTTATATTGGTTTTAAAATCTATTAATAAGGTGCCTTTTTAGTATAAAATTTATTGCCAGAAAATAAAAGGTCACAGAATGTAACATTACAGAAGCTCAAAGGCTTCTCAATATGTCGTTTGGATACGAAAGTGTTTCAGACAGACAGAAATACAAACGAACAGACGGGCCGAAATAAATATTCCCCCATTTCGTGAAACCAAGGAACAAAAATTGATTCGATCTCCAAAACACTAGATATTTGGTTCTTATCGTCTATTTTCAAAAAACATACAAATATGTATGTTTGTGGCAGTTTTTAAGATCTACTAGTATTTAATTTTGAGTTTACAACGCATTGATTGTTTTCAACATTCATATCGTTACAGTCTAAGAAATATTTAGTGAATTCCTTACAAGAACATCCAGTCTTCCAAAATGTTCAATTGTTTGTTCCACGAGCGACTTTTTAAAATCTCTGGAAGTTAAGTCACCCGCGCTGAGGAGAACCTGTGTAAAATAGGTACGTAGAACATAAAAGCGGAATTTTAATTTCAACCATTTGGTATAATGGGCGAGTTTAATTTCACTTTGCATGGTAAAGCAGACTGTCTGTTTGGTATAACAAGCAGTAGAATATATTATCGCTAAGAATTCCTTAGAAAACATTAACATTGAAATCCCAGCTGCCTCGCTAAGAGGTATCCTGTGAGTCAAGTAGTTTATATTGTAACGTCGACGTCTCGCAAAGGATTGCACAAGAAGGCACAGTGCAATAACGCCAGTTACCAATTTAGGGTTGAATCACACATTCATTTTAAAATGCTTTGTAACAATTGTCACTGAAACACTTTTTTAATAAAGTTTGGCATATACAAGGGTCATTCACAAAATACGTAGACAATTTTCCTCATCGTAATATAAATATATTTACATTTGCAAATAACTTTGTTAGATGAACCTATTGAAAAGAAAATACGTTCAATTCTGTGAGAATGTCATTAATGATCGATGTGATATTTTGACCAAACACATTTTCACTACATAGGAATTCATTGGTTTAAAAAAATCATTCGAAATGTGTTCGTTTCAAATGTAAATATGAGTGTTAAAAAGTTCATGGGAAATGAACCATTTGATCAAAATAGAAATTCGGGCTTCACAGGATGTTAGCAAAAATTTTTAACATTGTTGTTTATTTCTAAAATAACAAGATTAATTATCAATTTAACATATTTTCATAACTAAAATCATTTATTTTGTCGAAGTGTTTAGTTTCATTCCATTTGATTAAATAGAACTCATGTTAGCCAATTTTTAAGCAACATGACCTCCGGTCACGTCATGGTCTGTGACTGACCAAAACTTTTAGGCTCCGCTGTTTATTTCCTAAACCTTGTTTCTGTATGGTTTTAAGTGTGTTTAATTCTGTGGAAAGGAGTTTATTACTCAATTTGGTGAGCTTTGCATTAACTTTGGGCTTAGTGTAGCGTAACAAGTGAACTGTTTAAATCTAAGACATTCTTCTTAGTATTCTTCATTGTGAACATGTATTCACTCACAAAACCAGCAGTAATCTCAAAAATCTAATATAAAATTTATGACTTGGGCAGAGGAGAAAAGTGAAAATCTTAAACAAAGGCTTTGTGCGACACTCAAGGAAGATGTGAACGTTGACCTTGACCCCTCAGATGTCCTGGCGACCCATCAGATTCCCGGGGGAGATGGTAGAGGACCACGACCTGTGATCGCAAAATTTTGAAACACCGACATCAAGATCATGGTAATCACAAACGGTCTGACGAAAATCTTAAAAGATCTTCAACATGCACGATCACCTAACACAAATGAACGCTAAACTGGTGCGCGAATTGAACAGTGATCCGCGAATTTACAGCGCTTGGTATTATAATGGAAAGTGTTTCCCTTGACGAAGAAGGAAATCGCCTCAAATTTGATATTTTGGACAACGTGTCTGAAATATTGAAAAAACACTAAATAATTATTCATATATGCAGCGGAGCGGACTTTGCTAAATTCAGATCATGTTTACTTTTTGTGTAAACTGTGTGTCGGTGAGTGTGTGCATGTCCCCCCGTTTTTCTAATATAATTATCTGTTTTCATTATTGGGAAAGATAGTACTTTCACCTTATTCAACGTCTCTTTATTGCTTTTTTCTAATCCACTACAAACTAAATGTGTAGCTCAATTAAACTGGTAAAGGTGAATTGTCAAGGCCTGGCAACCATGACAACAGGTAGCTATAGAACATAATTTTTAAAAGCACTTCTCAGATTATGCTTAATGTTTAAGAGCCTTCAAAACCAATTACAAAACAGTTTCGTTTTTCGAAATTTGTTGAAAAATAAAAAAGTTATGATATTTTTTTGTTGTCATCTTTTCACATCTTGAAAAAAAAGTGTTGCCATTTTTTAACAAATGATAGGGACAAAATCTACTAGGCTGCAATTCTTCATTTAATGCAAAGTACTTTACAATAATTATATAAACAACTAGAACCGAGCTCGTTGCAAAGCAACGAGTAGGTCTTCCGTCCTGTTTGACCGGAAGTAACTTTTAATCTAAAAAAAGTAATGACGTCTCCAATGATTTAAAACATCCAAATAGTTATTGATTATAGTAAGCCATTTTCGACTACTTCCGGTTTGACCGTAAGAGACTTTGACGGACGGAAAATTAAGTTTTATGCTTCCAGTGACATATGTTACCCAAAAACATGTCAAGAACAGCAAATATATGCATTTTCTGACTACTTCCGAATTGACCGGAAGTGACGACACCGGACATATTTTGACGACTGCAATAGGATGAGCTTGAAATTTTGAGCAATTTTGCTTTTTAGATGTATTATAAATTCTCAATACTTTTTGAGATATTAAGGAAAAACTGTTGGCCCCTCTAGATCCCTTATTTTAGGGGCCAGCCCCTTTTTCGATATATCATCTGAGAGATCTTGCAATTCTACACATCTTTTGTTCTATATGTATCAACAAAATATTTCTTGATAAAAAGATACCGTAGAAAAGGTGTGAGAAATTTTGAATTTCGTGATAATCTTTTTTGGTCTATAGCAAGCGCCAACGTGCGTCATTTCCAGTAAATTTTAAATACCTTATGCACTTCTCCATATATAACTCTAAAGTTTGAAGTTTCTATATTAACCCGTTTTTCGGGAAAATTGTGGACAAAATGACCCTTTAAAATAAGAAAATCGACAATATCTTTAGACCGGAAGTGACGTCATCGAAACGGAAAAAAATTTATAAGGTTCAAGTGATGATCCATACGTCCTGAAAGTCTCATAAGATTTCGTTGAGCCCTTTTTGAGAAATCGCGTACGAAAATCGGTAATCAAAGAAACAATTATAACTAGAGCAAAGCTTATTGCACAGCAACGAGTAGGTCTTCCATTCTGTTTGACAGGAAGTTACTTTTATTTATTACAAAAATGTGCAATAACTCCCAAAAATGGTTGAATTTCTTTAAACCTATGTATATAAATGCAAAAAATAAGCCTTTTTTGCTATTTCCGGTTTGACCGGAAGTGACGACGACGGACAGAAAATTCAATTGTATCCTCCCAATGACAGATGTTCCCCAAAGAACGGCAAACATACACATTTTCCGATTATTTCCGGTTTGGCCGGAAGTGACGTCATTGGACGTATTTTGACTACCCCAATAGATAAAGCTTGACATTTTGAACAACTTTGCTTCTTTGAAGTATTACAAATTCTCAATACTTTTTGAGATATAAAGGAAAAGAGTTTGGCCCCTCAAAGCCCTTATTTTCAGGAGCCAGCCCTTTTTTCGAGATATCGTTTGAAAGATCTTGAAATTCTACGCTTCTTTATGTTTTAACAAAATATTTCCAGGTAAAAAGATATCGTAGAAAAGATATGAGAAATTTTGAAATTCGTGATAGGTTCTATATTTGGGCCATAGCGAGTGCCGACGTGAGTCATTTCCGGTAAATTTGAATTACCTGATGCACTTCTCAATACATAGCTCTACCATGCCTCAAGTTAGAAGTTTCTATTTAGACCCGTTTTTCGGGGAAATTGTGAACAAAATGACCCTAAAAATTCAGAAAATCGACGATATCTTAAGACCGGAAGTGACGTCATCAAAACGGATAATGTTTAAGTGATGTTACATAATTCCTGAAGTTTCATGCGAATCGATCGAACCGTTTTCGAGAAATTGCGTGCACAAAATCGGTAAGTAAAAAAAACAATAATAACTAGAGCCGAGCTCGTTGCAAAGCAACGAGTAGGTCTTCCATCCTGTTTGACCGGAAGTACATCTGTAACTTTCATTTAAAAAAAGAGTAATGAAGTCCAAAAATGGTTTAATCCTCCTAATCTTTATTTATTATTGCAATATTAAGCCATTTTTGTCTACTTACGGTTTGACCGAAAGTGACGTCGACAGACAGAAAATTGAGATTTAAGCTTCCAGTGAAATATGTTACACAAACCATGTCAAGAACAGCAAAACTATACGTCCCCAGACGTATTTTGATGACCTCATTAGATAAAGCTTGACATTTTCAATAACTTTGCTTCTTTGACGTATTACAAAATCTCGATACTCTTTGAGAAATAAAGGAAAACTTTCGGCCCCTTTTGGCCCTTTATTATAGGGACCAGCCCCTTATTGTTGATATCTGTCGAAAGATCGTGACATTCTCTACAAGTTTTGTTCTTAATGTCTTTACAAAATGTTTACATGTAAAAAGATATTGCAGAAAAGGTGTCAAAAATTTCTAAGTCCGTGATAGGACTTTTTTCGAGCCAAAGCAAGCGCCGACGTGCGGCACTATCGGGGAAAAGAGCGCAGCACAGTTAAGGTTACAGTAAGGAGGCGGGGCCTAATTTGTACGGGAAATGTTTACTATGACGTCACACACAATATAAGGCCTTCAAAATACCATAAAATGAAATTATTTGTTATTTCAAAGAGCTGGATGGCTGTTTACTACATACAAACTTACTATTACATGCAGTTTTGTCGTTTGTTAAATCCCACACAGCAGTATATAAACGATGCATCGATCGCAATGCACTTGTCAATGTGACGTCATCTCGCAAAAATGACGCAGTTTTTACACAATGAGAGGCTGATCAAGTCACATTTTGTACAATGAAAAATGTCTTTTGTTCTCAAATAAAATATTTTTTGCAGTAAAATAGAAAGCCATTAACTTGGATGCGATGTGTATTTTAGTATCTTATTTATAAACTGTACGTGCATTCTCCAGACAAGCGATACTGTCGTGTGTTTTTATGCAGATTCATTGAAAAAGTAATGGAAGGGCCCTAATAAATCGATTTATTGCAAGGGCATACCCTCAATGTATCTTGTCAAAATTTTACACATAAACCCAAGAAGCATTAAGATATTTGAAAAGTGCTGCGAACCTCTTGAAATCTTGCAAATAAATTAATAATATCTATATTTAATGTAGTTGATCAGCAAAATATT